ACCAGACAAGAAATAAATAAAAAAGATACGTGAAGATTTTGATCCAAATTGGTTAAGAGTTTGCCCTTGGCTTGAAAAAAATGAAGATATTAATGAAAAGGGTGACAATGTTTTGCGGCTAATGTAAAAATGCAAAAAAGAAACATATTTTTACAACAGGTACACAATCATACCGAAAAGTATATTATTTGATTATTTATGTAAATTATATGTAAAATTACCCGCACATTAGCTTGCTAATAATGTGTGGTCAACGCACTTTAATATGATAATAATGTGCTAGTACCGCACACAATTTCGGGTTCAGATTTTAGACACTGTTCTGGTTGGAAGTATATTAATATGGAGTCCTGATTACCGGATTCAATTTGCACGTATTAATATATGTATTGGATCAGCCAGGTTCGCGATTTGCCAGTGAAGGATACTATATTTGGATGGACCGATTAGTTTAAGCTGGAGAGAAAAAAAGAGTATCATAAAGACTTTTCGTTAATGTTAGAGTCTCTTGCCGAAACAAGATCACAATATATTTCATTTATCTTTTTTTTTACATGTCGTGTATATATATATATATATTTCTTTTTATTCAAAAACAAAAGTTCAATGTCATCATCACAAGGCATTTTTTAAAAAGTCATAGATTTTCATCTTTTCTTTTCTCTTATACACATATATAGATTTTGATTCTTTTACCTTACAAATAATGCCCCAATTAAAATTATCTAAATCCTATCATCACTGTAATTCATAATAACATGGATATTAATTATTATTTTGATGTTGGTAATAGTTCTGTTAATGGTAATGATAATAATAATAATTGCAGTGATATTAATGAAGAAATCAACAATATTAATAACAACAGCAATAATAACAACGATCATATTATTAATAATAATGTTATTTAAGCAGTCTTAGATAGCAACATAAAAAGTCTGTGCTACATATAAAACAAATAACAGACATTTGAAATCTATATATATCAAATAATAAGTAATATTTCATAGTCTCTCTATTATAATAATTTGCAAGTAAGAATTAATTAATGATATCTTTATTATTATTGTTGTTGTTATTTTTTTCTAAAAAAGATTAATCATGTCCCCATACTTTTAACAGTTTTATCAAATCTACAAGTTATCAATAATTGTCATACCATAATCCTCTAGCCAGACTCTTATGACCATGTAATTTCACAACAACTTTATTTGTCACGACATCAAAAGTTTTGATAATAGAATCAACACCATAAGTGAAAAAATATTTACCGCCAACAATGATTAGGATTTGTGAACTTTCTGTTGTCAGATATATATCATCATAGTAGTTGTAAATTTGTTATGCAGAATGTGTACAAAACAACATGATTCATCCATTCACATCATCTGTCGATTCCAAAAAATATTTTCCGTCGTATTATTAGGACTTGAGAAATGTCCATTTGAGTAAAAGAAACCCAATCATCATCATCATTAACATTCATGTTATATTTCTTATCTTCAAAATTATTTAAAGTTAATGTAGTAAAGGTAATCATCATTGCGTACACCAACTGTAATGTATTGTACAAGTGTTCGCTTTGTCTGGTTTTGTTGCAGCATGCCTTCGTATGTAGGTAGATAGGTAAACTACATTGTGTGATTCAGAATAATATTAATGTATGTATATTATATAGGCCTTTTTATAGAGGAAAATCATGATGTAATTTTAGTATTAAGTAAAGTGGGTACGGTTTCTATACCATATTAATATCCTTGTGACGTTGATGCGGCATTAAAAAGATTGATTCGGGACCAGGTGTCCAATAAAATAACATTTATTAATCAAACCTACTACTTTCTTTCAATTTTGATTGGTCTTCTCTCCTTATGGTGTTTGTTACACCTTACCAGAAAAAGATAATGCTTTGATAGGGAGAGTCATCAACATATATTAATGTAGCAATTTTATACAACAATAGCAGTAATAAAAAAACCGATGATTCAAGTAACGATGACTCAATCTCTATTTATTATTGCTATTTTTTATTTAATATCGTGTAACCTTATCCTTGAAACAAATAAAGGAATTCTTGAACTATAAGCCCCCATATTTATTATTATTGTGTACACACTGTGAGAAAAATTATTTATAAATGATGATAAATAATCTTTTCTTAAAAAAAAATTTGGCTTCGATTTTTCACCATTCACAGCCTCATATTTTTTTATTATTTTTGAAATTTATCTTGATTGATTTTCCTAAAAAAAAATCATTCGGAAAAGATTATTCTTTTCGATTTTATATTTGTTTATAAATATACCTAAATATACACTGTAAATATTTAATGAAACCATTAAAATTGAAACCATTGAAATCATCATGATAAAACAAAATATCATTTTTACATTATTATTATCATGTATTTTAATTCAAGGTACAACAACAATCTTTATATTTTGGGAATTTTTTATCAATTATTAATTGTATATTTATATATTTATTATTTTAGGAGCATTTACACAAAATCAATATTGTGATAATAATTCGCAATATTGTATATCAGTAGATGTACCTAATACTTCGGCACAAACTTATGCAACATTTAGATTGGAAGCTCCATCGACTATTGGGTCCGTCAAATCAATCAATCTATCCTTCTTTCTTTCTTTCTAGTAAAATCATAATTATAATTTGCAAACATTACACATAATATATTTGTAGATGGATGGGAATAGGAATTGGTGATAGTATGCTTGATAGTTATTTGGTGGTAATTAATTAATTAATTAATTATATAGTTTTTAATATCATATAAATTCACAACAAAATAATCCACTCACTCACTCACTCATTCCATCCGCCGTTCGCCCACCCACCCCCATTCATAAATACATGCACACGCACAGTTAGCATGGCTTCGTACAGACGGAAAAGTTGCATTATCACAACGTGTTGCAAAAACCTACGCGGTGCCTACAGTAACAGATCGACAAGCAGATCTTGAATTGGATCCAACCAGTGGAATCCAAACTAACAATAGTAGCGATGGTAGCAGCAAATTAGTAGTGATTTTCAAACGTCTAGTGTCGGTACAAGATTCAACGATCGCTTCAAATTTCATTTGGGCTGTACATACTAGCAACCGACCACCCGATGATCCTTTCACCATGGAAATTACTGAACATTCTTCACATGGAAATATGGCATTATCATCATCTCCTCCTATAAGCAAACGTGTTCTGTTTCTCATCATACACGGTAATTATTCGAGGGTGGATATAAATTGGTGTAAAAATGGATATATATAAAAATGAACATATAATAATATATAACTTATATATAATCACAGTGATAATAGAATAATAATGATAATGATTATTGTTATTTATAATTATTTTAAAAGGTTCGTTGATGTTTGCAGCGTGGGCAGTAGCGGCACCTTTAGGTGTATTTTTCGCAAGATTTGGAAGAAACGTTTTACCTAAACGTTGGTTCAGTCTGCATTGGGGAATTCAAGCCTTGTTAGCTTTGCCATTAACAGTTATCGGTTTCATTATGGCATTCCCTTCGGGTGCAAGTTTCACTACAAGAAATAGTCATCACGTAAGTAAAGATAATTTTAAAAGGAGGAGGAGAAGAAGGAGGAGAATGATGATTAAATGTAATTTTATATATTAAAAGATTAATGGTCTTTACTATTTAGTTCCTAAATTGATTCCCTAATTGATTCCTTATTAATTCCTTAATAATTTCACATTCATCCCATTGATAGGTTATTGGAATGGTGATCTTGATTTGTTTATTTGTTCAACTATTGATTGGCGGTATACACCATCACATGTACGATCCAAATCGTAAATCCATTCCATGGTGGACAAAACTTCATTGGTGGTTTGGTAGATGTTTGGTTTTATTGGCACTAGTGCAAATCTCACTTGGTCTAGATTTATATGATGTCAATCCGTTCCTTCTTGACGCTTATTACGTTTATGCGGGAAGTTTGGTGTTTATATATTTGGTCATGTCGTTTCTTTTTTGGAACAAACGTCGTAATCAAATTCAAAAATATGGAAAGTCTAGTTTTATATATACCGGAATTAAAAAACAAGAGGATTATGAAGACGAATTTGATGGTTAGTTATATATGTATAATGTGTATGTGTGTGTGTATATATATATATATATAAAGAGAGAGATAGAGAATTAGGAGGAGTGGGTGAAGATTAGAGATTTTTTAAAAAAAAATTATTTGTTTTCTTTTTTGTATTTTATTATTAATTTGACAAAAAAATTTTTTTTTTGTGTAGGAGTTTTTTTGAATAAAATGACACAGGAAGTTACATAAGCTTTTTACATTATGTAATATTATATAACTATATATGTATAAATTATATATCATTATCCACTATCATTACTATTTTATTGTATACATACATATAAACTTTTTTTTAGGAAAAAATCAACTTTCTATTAAAAAATGATTTTATTTTATTTTATTTTATTTTATTGTTTTTTGAAAGAGGAAAAGAAAGAAAGACGAAATGAATGAATGAATGAATGGTTGAATGGTTTAATGAATGAAAATGAAAATGAAATTTGTTGTACATCTTTTTAGATAATAAAGTAAATAGTATAACAATACAGTATAATAATATAACAATATAATAATAATATAACAGTATAATAATATAATATAATAAAAAAATTACCCATAGCTTAATTAAATTAATTAATTAATTAATTCTTAAATTAATTTAAAACCTTATTGCATAATTGGAAAAAATCCTGCCAATAAAAATATAAAATTACTATTATAGAGTATGAATGAAAGATTTTCCACTGCCGCCCACCATGTCTAACATCTAAAAACAACGTCTAACATTAATATTGTCTCGAATAATAACTACCTTTTCATCGTGAGGAATCCATTGAAGATAATCATAAATTACTATATATCGATATTTTGGTGTGCTATTATTAATCAACTCATCCAATGTTTTGTTGCCTCTGCTAATTTATTGATTGGTAAGATTAGGAAAATAAAACTCTCGGCTGGTGTAAAAAGCCTGAGGATGTTGTTTGGGAGGAGTATAAGATTTATTGTGTTGTCTGCTAATCAACTTCCACCTTTCATCTTCCGCTTTAGAAAAATCTATAGAAATATCCGTTTCGTTTGGATTGTCACACATATCATAAATCCAATCGGAAAATATTTTCGTCAACTCTCTAGCCGTAGGTCTTTGGTCTGGTGATGAATGCCAACATCTCTCCATCAAATCTTTATAATATTTTGGCATGTCTCGTATTCCTTCTGGTCGTAAACCTTTGCAAATATCAATTGCCAATTGTTCATCATGTGCTCTATCACACCATGGCTTTACACCTGATGCCAAGGTCCACATTGTTATTCCAAAACTATAAATGTCGGACTTTCGTCTGAAATAGCAATAGTCTTGATCGTTATAATCGTAGTCGTCAGAAGATGGAAATTTAGTAGAAGTGTTGGACGATAACATCAATATTTCGGGAGCAACAAATGGTAAAACGCCATAAATCTTGTTGTCTTTTCTTTTGAATGATAAATCATTACTGACAGGCCCATAAAATCCCACATCAGCAAGTTTTGCATCGGTTGAAACATTTTCCTCTTCGATTAACAAATTACCACCATGAAGATTACCATGAAACAAATCTTGGGAATGGATTTTCTCCAGTCCACATGAAATATCCCACAACATGTCGATCATATCTCTCCAACTGATCACACCCTTGACATAATTCAGGTATTGGTACAAGTTACCATTCTCGTAATACTTCATTACAAACATATAACACGACGTCGAGTCTTTTGTTATGCCAAAACAATCCGCCAATGAGCCACATTGCAAACAATTTAAATATTTTTTTACCTATAATTAATAATTTGCGAGAAAGACAGAATAGAAGTAGGAATTTATAGGATGTATAAATACAGGGTGTATATATGTCAAACATAAATAAAAAAATAAAAAAATAAATAAATAAATTACCTGGTTGATGAATTCAACTGTAATGGAATTGAGATTATTGAATCTTTTTAAAGCAACTTTAGTTGGACCAGTTCTGGTGTAATCTTCAGATGCCTCATCATAGATCCATTTTGGACCTTCTAACCAAACTGCAGAATAGATCGCGCTGTAGCCACCCTCACTCTTAAATTGTCTTAATTCGATATTTTCAAAAGGAATCCATTCCAAATAATTACAGCTTGACGTCGCCGTCAATTGTGTCTCTTGGATCAACTCATCAATTAACTTATTTCCACTTGTCCAATTTATAAATTGTTGTCTTAATTGATTAATAGAGCAAGCTCTACACCAGCTATTTAGCGAGGCAAATTCTTTTCCACAATCTGGACATCTATTATTACCATCTTCATCTTGTTGTTTTTGACTTCCTTCTGCCTTTCGTTGCTGGTGCTCTTGACTTTGATGATGTTGCTGTTGCTGTTGCTGTTGCTGTTGCTGCTGGTACGTCCCTCCATAATTATTTGTGGTGGTGATGACATTATTATTATTGTTGTTGTTGTTGTTAATACTGCTGACGAATGGGTTGCTCAAGTTATTATAATTATTTTCGCTAATAATAACAATATTATTGATATTATTATTATTATTTATATCACTATTATAACTATTACCATCACTATTGTTATCACCATCGCCGTCACTACTACTATCTGTGATGTCAATATAGTTTGTATTTGGATGATTAGCTAAGGACATTTGATCTTTGCCACCCCTCATATTCATTAGGCCTTTCAGTTACTTTTTATGGTTAGAGTTAGATTTTTTAATTTATGTGTGTTACCAAAATAGAGAAATCCTTTAGAACAAATAAATCCTTCTTTTTTTTTCTTTAAAAAAAATTCCAATCAAATAACTAAATTGCTACTACTAATATTACCAAGACTACTACTACTACGACTACTACTAGTGGTACCACAACTATAATTATAATTATTAATACTCAAAATCACAAACAAATATCTATAATTAATAATTCTGGTAAGAACGTAAAACTTCATTAGCTCAAATCCAAAAAGTGAAAAATGCGATTGTTTATATTTTTTTCAAATTTTTTAAATTTTTTAAAATGTTAATAAGCAATAAAGTATTCATTCACGTAAATATAATAAAAAAATTTTATAATTAAAAATATATTAAATTGTTTCAGCAAGCATGTTAAGAATTAATTAATGCATATTTATACTAAATTTTTTGTTTATCATTTAGGAGATTAAATGATCAATTAATTCAAATTCACCAAACAAAATACGAAAAATGGATTTATTAAACAGGAAAATTTTTTATGATAAGTATCTTTTTGTTGTTAAATATAAATTAGATAAATATAAACAAACCAACTTTAAACAGATTAAGGTTTGATAAAAATCAAAAAATCAAATTCTTTTTTAAAAATAAATAAATTCAAGAAGAAAGATAATATACTAATTTGGGTCATTTGATTAAAACTTTTGCTTTGTTTACAATGAATAATTTCAAAAAAACAATAACAATAAAGTGCGTAAGTTTTATAAATAAATATGGGCAAATAAATAAACATATAGTAAAGGCCTTTCTCCAAATGGATTAATTGGATAATTTTTTGAACAACTATCCCAATATTGATTAATAATAATAATGAATGACGTATGAATCATTTTTTGTGGAAAGTTGTATTATCATTATCATGAGACAAACAAACAATGAGCGTAAAAAAAAAATACACAATAAACAATATAAATAAATCAATAATAATAATAATAATAATAATAATAATAATAATAATAATAATAATTAACTATCTAAAAATTCAACTCTCTATATATAAATAAACCCTCTTGGAATATTTTTTTTTGTGAATAACGACACAAAGAGAAGGATGCGTAAAATTAATACTTGATAGATAGATAGATAGATTGATAGATTGATTGATTGATTGTCGATTATTGTTGATTGATTGATTGATTGATTGGAAATTTTGGAAATTTAAAGAAAGATTTGACAATTTAAAGATTGATTAATGATTTCATCTGTTATAAAAAACCAATAATTTTTCCAAAAAATCATCATTATATATAGATAGAGACTTAATACAATCATTGTCAACATAAAACTATAGTCCTTCCAAAAAAATTTTCCTATAAAGAATGTGGGAATTATTAGTGCTTCCAAATGGAAATCCGTAGCTGTTACCGTGGTGTAACCTCGCGAAAAGTTCCCTTCTCAACCAAATTGATTTCAAAGATTGATTGATATATTTTTTATTGTTCCAACTTACATATTAATGAAATTACATCTAATCAAACTTTCAGGATTTTTCAGGATGACGCAACTCTTTGTTCGATTGGTTCATTTAGAAGCAATAATAATAAATGTTTATTGCTCAAACCACTTTAGTCCAATAAATGGAATTGTTCAATTTAATAGATAGATATATAGATAGAAAGAAGGCATTCAATATTTTTTTTATTAGTATACAAGTAAATCTTGCATTTCAACGGCACAAACGTAACACAAGTAGTTGTATCACATGATCAAAACAAACATGACTATGACCAAATTGACATTGGCTGATGGCCATAAAATTCCTTCTTTTTATGTGAAATGTTATCTTATTGGTTGTTTTTACTGTGATATCCTTTTAAACTACTCTAGAAGTGAGTATGTCGCGTATGATGCTGTTATCACCGTCGATCATCAATTATTTGAGGTTATCATTTGATGTTTTTAGTAGTAGTGAAATAACTGCGACTTGATGATTAGTGGTAGTGTAATTCTGCCATATTTTCTCCAAGTAGAAGGCCTTGATTAGCACAATTCTAAGCCCAATCCTACTTTTTTTTTTCAATTCTGTCGCTACAATTATGAAATTGCATAAATTCTTTAATACTAACTAATATAAATCTACTGCATGATTCAAAAGATAGCAAGATTGACCCGGTTTATTTATCCAGTTTATTAAATCAACCGCATTTGATTGTGTTTCACTCGCTAAAGTTCCTTTATTTCATTTCGTTGAGGATATTTTAATATTAATGGTTTATCACTCACGCCATTCCATTGCATAAGTAACTCAGTAAACTTCTTCTTCCTAAACGGGTTTGATATATAAATGGCTTTGATCAAGCTGTTTGTATATTTTCTATGTTCTTCTTCTTTTATATAGGAGAAGGTACCACTACTTATTCTGTTATTAAAATAAATTAATAGGTGTAGTGTTTTTTCTTCAATATATTCAATAAAAATAAATGATGTTATTTCTTCTTCAGTAGTATTAATACTATCTTGTAATTAATTAATAATATGCATCTTGGTTGATGTTTTGTTAGTCATTGTTATCCTTGAACAATTTCTGTACTATATATCATTGTTGCAGTTACTAATCTTTTTCAATGCCTCTCCCAATAAGACCTAAAGTTTTGTTTGAACGGTACGATAGCCAGTGATTCCGCGAGTATTATGGATTGTTTACAAATATAAAATAAGTTCCGTAAATAGAACTATTATAGTTTAATAAAGCATGACATTAAAATTTTAGCACCTTCATAGATTCTGCGAATCTATTTGTTTATTACATTGCTAGATAATTAATAAAAAAGCGCTTGTCCCAACTTTGTTTTTTAATATTAATACCAATACTAATATTTGGATCAGAGATCTCTTGTTATTTTCATTTGTTAGCCAATCAAATTCTAATGATTACTGTAAATTTGTAGTACAAATCTATAGCGCAGTGTGTAACCATACCTATACTGATCGAATTTTGGGATATTGCCTGTCGAATATATTAATATGATTTCGATTAATAAAAATATGAATTCTATCCCCTCCATAATTATCAAATACACAGGTAAACTTTCTTTCAATCAATTATTTAGAGTACTTGATAATATAAATAAATGTCTTGTGCAAAACTCTATCAAAATTTGGTACGAGATTCACATTTTAAAAATGTATTTTATTAATCTCGATATTTAAAGTTACAAAAAATTTTAAACAAAATATATATTAGGTATACAAAAAATTTTTATAAAATTTTGAATATATTCCAACATAGAGTGAACCAAGCTTTTAAATGAGCATGCATGACCTGTGCGCCACGCTTCGATTCCAATTTATGTGATGCTCGGCAACTATTACCAAGTTCTTGGATTTTGCCGTCACTTCCTGGACGATCATGATCAATAGAAAGATACTACGTATTTTTTTAAATTGTCTAAACATTCATTTATCATGTTGTTTTGTTGCATATCTAATGATAAATATATTAATTTTATGATTTTTTTTCAATAATATTATAATATTACAATGAATACCATCAATAAAATCAAATTAAAAAATATGTATTATGTAAATTTACAATTTATAATTATTTATCCGATTGTCTAATTACTACTAATATTATTACTAATACTAAAAACAGTTTTTTAATTGTGACATACTCCATGATTTTATTTGTGTAACATATTTATTTTATTAACAGGATCAAAAACTTGTTGATCTCAATGGCCAAATAAAAAAAGTTCTTTCAGACGAAAATAAACGAAAATAAAATGATAAAAAAAAGGCTCTTCAAATTAAATAAATGATAAAAAAAAAAAAGGTTCTTCGAGTCGGGTGAAAATAAAAAAAGTTTTTTCGAAATAAACCAAAGATATTGCTAGTTCTTCATTGTTACTATCTATAATTATCATCATCATCGCTACCAATAATATCCATGTTTCCATTATCATCACTGTCGTTATGTTCTTATGTTTTCAACCCATAATTTTAATTACTGCTTTTCTTTACTGCTAAGAATACCGATCACTTCGTCATAATCGATTCCACTAGAACTTCTACCGCAATAGATTTCTCGTTCCGTTCCTCCTCCTCCTCTTCTTCTTCGCTAGAAACTTATCTATTGTTCGTTGTCGTTGCATTATTATCATTATCATAATTACTACCAGTACCGCATTCCCATTACCGCCACTTTCCTCCATATTATCACCTTCCAGCACACCCTCATCGTTCCTTCCATTAAAAAGTTCTTTTCGAATTAGGCCAAAGATAAGCAAAAGATAAAAAATGTTTTTTCGAGTTAGACGAAAGATAACAAGAAATAAAAAAAGATAAAAAATCCTTTTCAAGTTAACGACAAGGGTACGAAAAGGGGCTTTTTAGTTGTTATTATTTAGAAGACGAAAAGAGTTTTTTTAGTTATTATTATTCAGAAAAGACTGTTGCTTATGTATTCTTATATGACTCTAATTATTCCTTAAATGAAAAAGTACACAGCGACAATGGATCTCGATTTAACGGATAATTTGTCTGTTAAGTATAGAATATTCAAATAATAAATCACATGATATCTGTTATCTGCTTCAATTTTTGAGGTTACTACAGTTTTAGAGTCTCGATTGATTAGATAATTTTTACTTGGTAAATTATTATCGTTTCGCGGATGGATTGTTAAAATAATTCTTGATTACCCCACATAAAGCAATACCCATACGAATGCCTAAATTATTTTGCATCTTCTCATCAATTTTCAAAAAATTTACAGCAAGATGGAAAACCTTCTTTTGAAGGATAGCCATGGCTTTACACAAAGAGTTCCTTTTTGATGGTGCAGTTTAATAATAATAATATGATTTTTTAAAAACGGTTTGTTACACAATTCGAATTTGTCACATTTCAAAATTGAGTGAGACATGATCAAAACAAAACAAAAACATTCTTTATCCAATCCCATTGAAATTAATGCTTAAAAACGACTTTTAAATGGCTTTAAAGAGATTCCTAAAATCAATTCAAAACCCCACAATTCAACTCCAGTTTAACTCCGGCAGCAAGAAAAAAAAATTATATTTTTTTTTTGATGGGTGAAATTAACCGAGTTATCACAGTCAAATCTGCCCACATGAAAATTAAACACATCTGTAATATTTTGCACATAAATATTCCGTTCTTTTGACCGCATGCATGATTTTCTTTCATTGATTACTTACTATTTGCTATCGGATATTTTTTTGTGTCTCCGTTTTACCCCCAATATCCTTTCATTTGAAAATAACTAATTCAATCTCCTTATAAATGCAAATTATTCTCCGTTTTAACAGTCAAGATTTTCATGCACATACGTCAATCCTCCCTTGACATGTTTTATTAATTTGATCCCTAATTTTCAAAAAATAATCCGATCACATACATTATTTCCTTAATAAAAAATATGCATGATCTATCTGTTGAATGTCCTTAAAAAACTCTATTTTAAAATGCCGCATGAATTACGACATTTATTATGACGTCATAGGTCATAGGTCCTTTATCTTTTTTTGACATCACTGTACTTTCTTGACCTCACCTTTTTTTTTCAAGATAATGGATAATACTATATTCATCATATCATCATGATGAAAAAAATTCGCTGGATTATTAATATTTAATATTATTAATACGAATCATTTGATCTTTCTCGGTTTAATAATAGCGTAAATTATTTCTATATACAGTCACAAGATTTTTTTCTTTTCTCACACATTAAATTTAAGAACTTGTCATGTTTCATTTATTGTATAGAAAACAACATGCATGTCAATTTTAATTTGAATTCTAGACAAAACAAGGGAAGCTGATGTCCGAAAAGCATTAAAACGCTAAATTAAATTGATTAATTCATCTGATCTTCATTTTAATCAATAAAAATTCAATTAACAATTACGTGTGAATTTTGTATCGCATAATGAACGAGCTGACCCGTTTTATTTTTAGACTACAAATTTTTTGAATAAAAATATTTTTTTTACTATTTCTTTATTATTTGTAAAATGTGGCGGAAAAATATTCAAATTTGGCAATGATTGAAGAAAATGTAATATGTAATTTTGATATTCTAATCGTCATATTGTCACTATTGTTTTTGTTACACTTTAAATTCTGATGTCATTGTGAATTTCTACAAGGTTCGAACGAACCCTATTTTTTTATTATAAATATATTCTCAAAAAGTCTCTTGAAAAAATTCATTTCGAAATAAAATTCGAAAATAATAAAAAATTCGAAAATAAAATTCAAAAAAAAAAATAAAAGAGAATTAATTAATTAAATTAAATTAAAAATATATTAGATAAAAAATCCCAAAGGTCCTCTCGTCTTAAAAACTAAACATTCAAAATGCCTAATAGAAATTCAATTTTATTCAATTATGACTACGCTGCTGATTTTATCCGTCGTCGTCCGTCATTGAGAAGCAGGCATAAATCATCATTGAACACAGTTGCAACTTTAAGATCTGTAAATCATACAAAGAAATATTTTCTTCGTAAAACTAAAAGAATAATTTTTACGCCAATTAAAAAAGTCGTTAAAACAATTGATTATCAACAACAACACGGAAGCCATGGCAATGATGTCAACACCAGTCATGGAAATGACATTAATAATAACAATATTAATAATAACGCACCACGAACACAACCAATTCCAACCACGTCAACCAGCAGTAAATCTTCTACAGCATCTGATGACGATAATCATTCTAATAGCTCCTCATCGTCTTATTCCACCCTTCGAAGATACTCAAAAGCGATGAATCCGGTGAATATAGTAAGCGTAATTATTACAAAAAGAAAACGTAGAAAATTCAAGTCAAAATATTACAACTAAAATTATAAATACTCGCATGTATATATGTCATCATGTACTATTGTAGTAATATCAATACTTTTAAAAAATGCTAAAAACTAGCACCCCAAAAAAAAAAAATCACAAAAAAATCCCCAAAAAATTCTTACAATATCACACAACATTCATTTGTAAAATTATATCATCATCATTTCGATCAGTTTTTATTATTAAGCCGAAATTCGACTATTTTTCCGACTTCATTTTTAAACATTAAGATTTTTTTCATACTATAATATTTTTGTGTAATAATGATAAAATTTACATCATATTTTTACATATTATAAATAAAAAAAATTTGATTATAAATATATTATCATTATTAAAACATATATTTGTATTTGTAATCGTTCTCTAAGTTACATCATGTTTATAATTATTAGTTGTACATAATATTAATAATAGTTTTATTATAAATAAAAAAATTTTTCATTCAAAAAAAATTATCTAAAATTGTGAAATTAATTTAATCTCAAACCTTAATCCCATAGTAAACAATAATAACCCTTATAAACAAACAAAAAAATAAATAATTAAATAAATAATTAAAAATGATGCAAAAAACTTTTAAAGATGGTAATATCGTCGCGCCTCACACCAAATTGCCTCATCCTTCCCAAGAAGAAGTTGAAAAACGCGAAGCAGAACGATTGAAAAATGTTGATGAAAAAACTGGAAAACCAAAAGAAGGTTAATAATTATAGTCGCATAAAGAAAATAAGTTGTGATCATGAAAAATATTAATAATTTCATAATTAGGTGGATCTGCCGCCAGAGCTCAAACAGGCGCTACAACTACGTTGGATGAAGTCAGACCCACTTCGAAACGAGTCTATCAAAAATAAATCAAAGTAAAAATTTTTGTCATTATAATAAATAAAACTCCACCATCATTTATTAGTTATTGTTACCATTGATAATTATTATTATGGTTGTCAAGTCTTTAACATCATAAGATAAAAAATGTACGCGCAATCGTTTGAATAATTGCAATCAAAAACATCCAATATTAAAAAAAAGTAGCTTCGAGTCTTTCAACGCAAAATTTTAGACAAATATTATTTATTACTAAACAGCATTCCAATCATATTCATGACTTTCAGATTAATAATCATCAACAAAAGATGGCGACAACCTTCAATTATGTTATAATATATCATCACAGTCATTCATGTTATTTATTATTATAATTGTAATATTTATTATAGTGATGTTAAAGATTCACCATTAATTTAATGGGAACCACGTAAGGATTGTCTATTTTATATAAAAGGCCAAGACTGCCAACGTGCTGTTTAGCGTGTTCTCAATTCAACACTCCCCTCCTTAAAGAAGTCTTTTCCCCATCCTTTGCGAGATATTGCCCAACTTTGGTTCATAAAATAGGGGTAGGCAGGCATTTACTTTAACTTGCGTCATCCACATGTCAGCAATGTTATAATTAATTTACCATATTAGTATTGCATCATTTTTTTTTGCAAGTAGACGTCATGTTCCTCACAAACAAAAATCAAGCAAACCATTACTTGCAACATTTTTGTTTAGATCGGCAAATTTTTTTGGAAAATTTTTTTTGGTTTTTATTCCGATAATATTAAACATCCTTTAATATATCTTTTTTTATATCATTAATAATTATCTTCATCTTCATGGAATTGGGAGTGGAATATTTCCGGTGATGGTGACTGATTGATTGTTTGATGAAATGTTCCATCAAAAAATGAATTAATTAAAATAATTAATTCATTCTAGTAATTAATAATAAACAAACACTCGAATATAGATAACAATGATGTAAATAAAATCAAAAGATTCTTTGACTGGCATTGTGGCAAATCTGATAATCTGTAATTGATTATCTGGATCAGACTTAAATGTTCCACAGAAATGTTCAATGGAAAATTTTACTTTTTGTCATCAATTATTATCCTACACGATACATAATTTATATTATCTAATGAAAAGGTATCATTGATGTAAATATTTATACAAAACAATAAAACAAATAAATAATTGGATGACAATAATTGTTAATTTACAAGCTGCGAGTTTTGTAAACTTTTGATAATCTACTAGTGTAAATAGCATTCGGGTGAACAGTTGTTTGAATTGTCGAAGGGCCTAATGTTTTCTTATCCATTTTATCGATTTCTTTTTTTTTTATAGAAGAAACATTAATAACTTCTTTAGAAGTTGGACTTTTATTAGGATCAGTATCCATACATTTGCATGAAAATTCAAAAAATTTGATGTATTGCTAGAAAATCTAGGCCTCGATCAAACCTTTACAAATAGCCCACTGGAAGATCTGCATCACGTGGAGGATTAATGAACAGTTGTTGACCCGTTGATATTGTTGACATCAATGCTCCAAAACTATAGGTGTCTGAATGCCATTGTTATGGTTCGTCTCTTAAAACTTCTGGTAATACTGCCGCCACTTTTATTTGATGATTTGTCAGCTGGCATTGATAATCGCAAATCACTAATACATGTATGAGTAACTTTTCTTGAAGAATATTGCCACTACGAAGATCATTGTAAATAATTTGCTATTGATTAACTCTTCTAACCCCATGAACGATCCTATTTCGACTTTAACCTTTTGATAAATAATGTTCATTTGTATTTGAATCTTTTATAGATGAAATTTTGTAACTAAATAATAAATAAATTGCTCCATTTATAAAATTTCTTTAATGATCTTGTTATGCGATAGCTTCTTTGACTATGATTTAATTCCATAGGTTTTGGATTGTTGAATCTTATTGGATGAGAATGGATAAAAAATTTAGCATACCCTTTCTTTATTAAATATATAAACTAGTGAGATAACCAATATTGTATAATAAGTAAAATGTCCCTCATAACAGAATTGGCTGCTGCTTGAACACGACGCGTATTGATTGTTTTTACGCTTTTCACGCTACGTAAACAAATATATGTTATATGCCAAGTAAAATTTGTTCTACAGTCAAATAGATACGCCTATTTGTCTTTTAAATTTCGATAGTAGGTAGACAAATAGTCAGCTTTTAAAATTCATCGTAATTTCCTTGGGTGTTTATAAATTTAATTGGATAATATCCGTTGGATTCCCGTTTGACATCTGTAATAGTAATAGTAATAGTAATAGTGAGATAAAATTGCTATCCGGATAACCTTTAACTAATGTAATAGTAATAAAAAAATAATGTTTAGTTTCACCTTTTTCTCAAATTATAATTGTGTGTTGGTTCTTTATTGCCTGATTTTTTAATTGTAGTCTTTTAATTGCTTTGATGTTGACAACACCATTTTCATTATCATTGAGCTCTTCTTATTCAAGTGATCATGTTGGAAAAGTACTTGAATTAGCAGGAAATGCATCTAAATATTTTAAGAGTAAAACATATTACATAAAGGCACTTACAACTTGCTATTCGCAGTGATGAAAGATTAAATATGAATATTAAAGTCACAATTAGTGGTGTAAGTAAATATCTCTATCGTACGAATCTAAAAAAAATTTTATGTATTAAAATAGCAATGAGTAAAAATCAAAAAATGAAATTTGAAATAATAATTGTGAATGAAAAAGTTTTAATGGAGTGAATTAGAGAATGGAGATATGAGAGAATGGGAAAATTAAAAATGGAATGGAAATCACAATAGAGTGCTTCTAACATAATAAGCACCAAACCTTCATTGATTTCTACTAATAAATGATATATATATATATAATATAAATAAATAATGATAAACGTGATATAAATAGATAAATCAAATCTAAATAAATACTAATAATGAATAATATAAATAAATAATATAAATAAATAATATTATAAATAAATAAATTTTAAATATAATAAGAATTTAAACGGAATTAGAGAATTTCGACCTACATTTCATTAAGCTCCTGAATAAAATCATCATTAAAAATCTAAAAATATAATATAAATTAAATATTTGTATATAAATTCATGAAAAATGTACATATTTATATATTTTTTTTTACTCAAACCAATTATATTCTCACCCAAATTTTGTTAATGATATTATGGTTCTGGTTGATCTTTTATAATAATTATTGATTTATTACTATTTATTCTTCCACTTCTTCATCTTCATTCTTGACGTCACTATTAATATTTAAATTGTCATTTAGATTTCTTTTATACCAACACTCATCACCTTTTATTTGCCTAAAAAAAAAATATTAAATAATTAATATAAAAGTTATAATAAATATAAAATAATCGTTGGTTTCGGTGAATCATTTATTGTCATTACTAAATATGGCGGTGTATAATCCATATTAAACACACGTGTATGAATATCTTTATATGTGAATGATACATCACCTATTCTGGTTTCGTAACGCCCAACGTATTATAGATTGCATTGACCCTTGTGACCTCTAAGCTCATAAATTAAAATTTACCAGATGTAGCATAATGAATATATATAGAACCATCAATGGTTCCATAAATAATTGTTTCTGTAAACTAGGGTTGCCATGATGTTGGTCAATTAATGTAACAATTTAGCCATACTTGGTATTTTATTGATGGCAATGAACCAGACCAAAATTTGTTGGTCTCGATGAATCTGCCTATTGCCAACCCTGATCTAAACATGTGACCCAACTTCTACGAAATTCTCCAAATGGTACATGTTTAAATTTGTCATTAACCCAATTTTGTTGTATTATATGATGTCGACAATAGGTTGTTTACAGTTGTACTATTATTATTTTTATTTGAATAATTTATTGCTTTTTATCATAATCATCAAGATGAAATCCATCTTTGGAGAATATTATTTAATGTTTTGCACACCAAAGCTACTCTAACTAGGCATATTGGATCTAAATTATTAAAATATCAAAAACTTCATTTGGAAATTCACATACAACTTTTTTTCTTGTAATAATAATGTATTAATTACAATTTTTAAATTAATCCAAATAATACTTTTCTAATAAACCTACCCAACATCAGTTTCAGATTTTCTTTACGATTTAATGTTCAGTTTTGGATTTTTCCTCACTTTTTACTTGACAATTCATCTTTGGAAAGGTGGTGACAGTACGGTGCGGGTCACTCTAACACATCAAATTCTGTGCAAAATGTTTCAAATTCAAAAAAAAAAGCAAAAAATTTTTTTTATCACTTTCATTACAAAAATGACATTTTTAATTTTTATCACGTGATTTTCCAAAAAATGCATTTATATTAATTCATCAATTTCTTCTACAACATTATCTGGAATCTTTCTATGAGATTTATATTTTTTTACAATATATTCAGCCTGTAACACTGTTAAGCCTTTCCTGTAACAGTCCATAAATTTTGCAGCCCTTCTTGCATATTTTCTAATTTGTTTCAATGGTATAGAATCAAAGGCTCTGGGAACATTCTCTTGAAGACCTTTCCATGTGTAATTACAATGTTGCCTAACATACCGTTTAGCAGCCCCCCAATACATTTCAATGTAGTTAAGCTCACAATGAAATTTTGGATAGAAGATGATCTTATGACCCCTTGCTTCAATTAATTCTTGAAGTAAGGGTTTTTTGCTTTTAAAATCATCTTGGGTTGCTAAGATATGTCTAGCACAACAAGTCAAAGGTTCTTCAAAAGAAACTTATAAAAAAATAATAACAAGATGATTATTTTTATATTTTGATAATTGTAATATAATTATATTATGCATAATAAACTAACCATTTTTTTTACAGAATGCTTTTAGGCCAGTCCTCCATAACCCTCTTTCCTCCAAAATTATCTTCATTCCTTTTGGTTTTCCATGCAATTTTTCTACATGAAAATCATCTGGGAATACCATTTGTTGAACTTTACCATCAAAAATAGTATCCCTCATAGTTGGCTGCCCCCCTGCAGGGTTTAGATTCATTGTAAATGCATTCAATGCATCATCTGCCACTTTAGTATGACTTGATGAATGATCAAATGCAAATACTGCAATACTATTAGGATGTGTTAGTTCAAAAATTGGTATGGCCTTATTAACAATCTAAAAATAATAAATCTAGTTAATTATTGATTATCCTTTATCTTGATATTGATCTTTTTTTCTTACTTGATCTATTAGCTGTTCAAGATTCCACCAGCCATCTGCATTCTTTCCAGGACATATGATGACTTGAGCATCATGAGGAAAGTTCTCTTCAACCTCTAATTTTTGTTCATCTGATAATTTAAGTCTACCAATTGTTTCAGTTAAAAAGTTGCTTACATGCATTGTTCTCCCTTGACCTTTCTTTCTCAGTGGTTGTTCATTCCTTGGTCTCCAGCCTGTTTTTTCATCATCATTAGATTGGAATGTTGTTTCATCCTGTGTTACTAATACATGTATCTTTTCATCTTCTTCCAATTCAGGGTTAATTTGAATTTCCAAATCATCACCAGTAAATTTAGGCATCAATTTCTGGTAACTATTGTGTCATTATGATAAATCTAATTAATTAATTGTATATATAAAACAAGAATAAAATTAAAATTACCCTTCAATGACTTCTAAAAATTTCTTTCTATATTCAACAACATCTTCACACTCATGTCCATCAACATAAACTCCTTTTGCAAATTTAGAATAAACAAATCCCATCTTTTTGAGCCATCTTTTTGCTGTACTGGCACTAGTGTAAGCAAGCATTTATATAATTAACTTTATATTATAAATTATAAATAAAAATATTTTATAAAAAATATTACCTTATACTTGTTTTATTTTTAATTCCAATTATTGATAAGATCTCATCAGATACATTATCACAAAATTTAGAATTTGTTATATCAAACTTATTTATTCTTAAATATGAAAAAATTTTGGATCTCACATCCTCATCATCTAATATACTGCTTCCAATTAAATGTTGCCCATGTCTATTTTTGAACAGCTTTCAAACATACTCTATATCTGGAGACAAATTTTCTGCACTTAATTTTAATTCAATTTTGTTTATAGCTAAGCTTGAGTAATTTTCCTTTTCATGATTAACTTCATCATCAACTGTATTATTAAAAGAAAAGAAACTATCTAATGTTTGTCCATTTTTTTCAGCATCTTTCTTTGCTTCAATTTTTTTCTGTATTTAGTTGTTCTAGAACTATCTAAATAAACCAAAGGGCGATTAGATGATGATGATGATGATATCACTTTTTCTATATTATTTGACAAAACATCATAAAGGGACTCAGCATTTTTTTCAATTTCATTATCAAACCACTCAAAATCCTCATCAATTTCAATTTCTAAATATCCTCCAACTTCATTACTTGAATCTCCTTCAACCACATTATTTGATAATTCCTCAACACCTAAATTCTCTACATCATTATCATTATTGAAAGCTTCAATATTTACTAAATTATTTTTATTTGATGTTTTGGTTTTCTTAGCAGCTGCAAGTTCTTTACATAATTTAATTTTTCTTTTAAGTTTTGGCATTGCTTTGTATATATATAAAAAAATATGAAGGTTTATTATTTATTGAAGAATGTACAAACTTTAATTTACGTGATTTTAAATTTACGCGATTTTTATAGGTCACATGTTGTGACCGGAATTAGAAAATTTTGCCATGTATAACATAAGTTGGGCCAAAACTATATGTTTCAAATTTGGAAAATTTTATATGTAACATATAAAAATCACATGATTTTTAAAAGCTAATAACTCCAGAACCAATAATTTTTTTAAAAATATCTAGACGATAGATTGTAGAACTAGTCAAAAGCTATCAAATATCGTCTCTAATTTTTTCAGACAAGCACACAATATTTTCTTTATAGGTTTTAAAGTTGGTCAATTTTTATTTGATGTGTTAGTGTGACCCGCACTATACAGTGTGGAAATTTCCTTTTTTTGTTTAGTTTCCATGTTGTATAAAAACTATATTAACTAGAACTTGTTGCTAACAATGCTCAAATAATACTTGCTTTATTTTAAAGAATACACTATACAAAGAAAGTCTCCCCTTTTTTTTTAGAGCGCAAGATAAAGGAGAAATTAGAAAACAATTAGTTTGTGTGATCATTATTATTATTTATATATGGGGCATACTGCAACAAAACCAGACAAAGTGAACATTGGTATTACCAAGAATTTCAGGGATCAAAATTTAGT